TTCATTCGTCATATTTTTGTAAAGTTGAAAACAATACACAACTTTGTTAAATCAGTGAAGTTTTGATATCTTCAAACTGAATATCAAACCAAACATACAACACGTAACAATGGTGAAGTTTTTATATACTTCAAACCTGTACATTTATTATTCCGGCAAAGTTTTTATGTACTTTAAACCGGACAGAAAGAATTATTGGAGTAGAAAGTAACAAGGCTTTAGTCTCCAAAACAATATACAAAATATGAATAACAGTTTAATATATGTTTCAACACAGAAACGTTAGTATTAAATTCCTTAAGCTTGTGAGCGCTACTGTGTTAAAACACAAAATCAGAAAAAACTTGTTAGAAAAATAAAAGAAACTGGAAAAACAGAAGAGTTTAAGAAATATTCCGAGTCCACAATTTGCTTGTGTGTCCTTAAGGAATTTTAACTCCCTCACACGTTGCCAAGGTAATGGATTAAATCCTCCCAGGATAAAACGGAATAAACCTTCCTGCAACAGTGGCAATACAAACTGCAGGATACCAACGAACTTAAAGAACGGAGCAAAATCACACTTACGAATTTGAGAGAGAGAGACTGCGAATTTATAGGCAATTATCAGAAGAGGTGTCTGGAAAAGGTGCCTTTTCAGAATATACGCTGCCTGCCGCGGTTCTACCGCGGTTCTACCGCGGTCGCGGCAGAACCGCGGTCAGAGAGGCTCTCTGAATTAAATAAATTTTGTCCAAAAATAATCTTATCGATCGACAATGCCGAAGCCGAAGCCGAAGCCGAAGCCGAAGCCGAGCCGAGCGAGCGACGACGACGACGCGAGGGTTCATTCTCTTCAACTCCTTTTAAGAGCTTTAAGAAGTGATTCTATATATAAGCACACAAATGTGGTTGTCCCTCACCAATGAGGGACAAAGTGCAAGACAAAAGTTCACTTCTTCAAATTTTCAATTTCTCTCCATTTTATTTCCCTCCATTTCCAATTCACACTTCTTCTACTTTAAAGCCCAATGGCTTAAAGTCCAACAAAACCACCCCTAAACTTGGCTCAGATTATTAGTATCCTCCCCGAACTATGCCCGGTCTTAATTACCCCCCTCAACTTGGCCTTTTGAGAGTCATTACCCCCATAGACGCTCATATCTATCTATCTATATCTATCTATCTATCTATATTATTATAAAAGCATGAATACAATGTTGGAAGACCAAAATAGCCCTAAAAATAACGATATTACTGGATATAATAGTAATATTGTTATTTTCCTTTTTGTTTCGAATTTGGTTTGGTTTAAGAGAAAGAGCGTGTCTGGCAATTCCATTCAAATTGGTTTAGGCTTGACATATATAAAAGTTGTGTTCAATTCCAAATTAACTTTTTCATCTTTTAGTTTATGTGTCGTACGAATCATCCTTTATTAAGAGTACTGTAGCTTCAAAGATAAAATATCGATTATGAGCGGACAAGGGAGGGAAGGTAGGATAGAGGAATTAAATTAAATTTAACTGTAATTGTAATCAAGATATAGAATACCAAAGGTATTAGCCGTGTTATTTATTTTTAAGAGAGAGAACATATGAGTAATCAATTTGATTCGAGTTACTATTAATGACTGATTATAGTTCAACGGAGAGAAAATATGAGCCGACAATATAATTACTTAATATTTTGTTATTTATTATATGTTACCTTTACAATTTTATACATGCTAAAAGCTAAGGCACCAATTGGGAAGGACAGAACAAAAGGAATAATAATTATGGATGAAAAGTAAGTTAGAATTATTTAAGCAATTATATATTTATCTCAACTAACTAATAATAGACTAACTTATTAAATGCAATTTATACGTATTTTGATTGTAAAATTTAGGCTTGATCGTAAAAAATACACAGCAATATAGCTTTTTGATACATCAAGATTCTTGATAGGTTGTGATGTTAAAGAGTTATCGAATCAATCTCTTAAACTTATAACTTGATAACAATTTGAATACTTTTGTGCTACATTCAGTAAAATAATATTTAAGCTAATTCTTTCTTTGGATGTTACAAAAAAAAAGTCGGTGTATTATAGCAAAAAGTGACCTTATGTGAAGATAAGTAATTCACTTTTGGGTCAAAATGATAAGAAATTATAATTAGTGGCATTAAAAGGAGCATAATTGTTGAAGATATGTATGACACTAGGAGCTATTCGTATTATTAAAGTTTGAGGAAGAAGTGATATAAATGGCGAAAAGAATGACAAAGACAAAAAAGACTTATTTAAGATATTTCTGTTGTATCAATCCAAAGTATTTTTATGTTAGCATTTTTAATTTATTTTCTAACTAGACTTCAGCTTAATTTTTCAACTATAGGCAACTTGTGATGGTAAAACAATCATACTTAGAAGCAAAGTATTGAGAGACAAAAATATACTCAAAAATATTAAATGCGATCATGTTAGATTCGTGACCTTTAAATAATGAACTATTGCTATTGTAATCACATGCAATTAATTTTATTTTTCTGAATTGTAGGTTTGCAGGATTTGTGCCAAAAGACTTCCACATAGTTCAAAATGCATATACTTAAAACTTGATTTTATTGTTTACCAAATTTTTATCATGATTTTTGTGCAATTGATATTTTGATGTCGTTGATTTAGATATATACCAAACAATCAGAGCCCCTTGTATCCAGTCAACGTAATTTATTCGAGATCAAAATTGTTGGATTCAATTTTCAATTAAATATATTAATTTTTAAATAATAGTAACTCAGATGAAGACGAAATATACCTATTTACTATTCAATAGTTTTTTTTCTTCTTTGAATAACACTATAATTGCAATTTCAGAAACTCCAAAGTTTCATGTTGGGACTCAATTCATTTACTTAAGTAACCAAAAATAGAAGCTCACAAAAGTTTCAAAGCCAAATCTTTTTCTGTTGGGATTCATTTCGTTTCTTTAAGTAACCACTAATTAAAACTTAAATTTTTGAAGTTAAACTTTTTTTTCAAGGGGTAATATCATGCACACCATCCTGACAACTGGCATAAGCATTTAGTCATGATAGAGCAATAAAGCATTATAAATATACGCAAAAAATATTATTTTTAAAGAAATATTAAGTAAGATATGGATCACGTACTTATTTCTAAACTAAAAATATCTAACTTAACTAAATTAATAATATTTGCAGGTTCACAAAATATCGAATCATTTTGAATCCAAGTATTATGTTAATATAATAATATTTTTTTACAATAAGTGACGATTGTAGCAATTTCATCCACATTAATTGTTACATTTATATAAATAATATTTTCATAAATTTAGTTATTAATACGCTCAAATGTCGAATACGAGATTATGGACTGAATATTTACGTACAATTACTAACGTGCAACGCACGTTCGTAGAAATTGGTATGGCAAAAAGTGTGGGTGCACTCGCCTGCCAAGTGGATTTTTCTGTATATGTGACATTTTTTTGAAAAGTAAAATATATTTTCACCTTTTTAAGGATATTACATTTTTAGATAATTTTTTTTCGAAATACAATTTATAATAAAACTTGGATAGAACTACATTATTTAGGCTAAATATTTTTATTTGGCCAAAAATAATAAAGTTTTTGTTAATCTTTTTTTGAATTTGACCTGAAAATAAAGATTTATACAATTGAAATAAATAGCCAAGGCATCTAAAAAGTTATAAAAAATACATAGTTTGAAATTTATTATTTTGGCTATAATTTTTTATATAGCTCTAAATTACGGTGCTCTAAAAATATTTTTCTTTACGGAGTTTACCTAAAAAAGTAAAAATACACAGTTGAAATAAATAGTCATTGCATCAAAAGAAGAAATAAAAAGAGTGTACAATTGCAAGAAATAAAACGAATCACTTGCATTATACTGCAATTGTACACTCTTTTTATTTCTTCTTTTGATGCAATGACTATTTATTTCAACTGTGTATTTCTACCCTTTTAGGTAAAATCTGTAAAAAAAAAAAAAAAATTAGAACACCGTAATTTAGAGCTATATGAAAAATTATTGCCAAAATAATTAATTTCAAATTATGTATTTTTTATTACTTTTTAGATGACTTGACTATTTATTTCAATTGTATAAATCTTTATTTTCAGGTCAAATTCAAAAAAAGATTTAACTAAAACATTATTATTTTTGAAAAAATAAAAATATTTAGCCTAAATAATGTAGTTCTATCCAAGTTTTATTATAAATTATATTCGAAAAAAATTATCTAAAAAAGTAATATTCTTAAAAAGGTAAAAATATATTTTATTTTTCAAAAAAATGCCATATGTACAGGAAAAATCTACCTGGCAGGCGGGTGCACCCACACTTTTTGCCACATCAGCGTCTAGGGGGTAATACCTCTCAAAAGGCCAAGTTGAAAGGGGTAATTAAGACCGGACATAGTTCGGAGAGGATACTAATAATTTGAGCCAAGTTCAGAGTGGTTTAAGATATTTTGCCTTATATATTTATGTAAGTGACATAATCTTTTTATCCAACTTTCAATTCTCACCAAACATTGAGCATAAGACTGCAATTCCATTCATAGTTGACTCTCTACTCATAAACAATTTAGGGTGAAGTTTGTAAAACTACTTGAGTTGAAAGGAACTCTAGAGAAACCTTTTGGACTTTGCTCATGCGATGGGTCAATTCCCTAGAATATGGGGTAAATTTTAAAAATAGCCAGATTTACAACTGATCGTTCAAAAATAGCCCAATTTCAAAAGTAATCGAAATTTAGCTACTTTTTATATAAAGATAAATCTGAGCGAAAACACTGTTCAAAACCCGGAAAATACTCCAGCATATTATGCTGGAGTTCCAGCATAAGTATACTTGATACTGGAGTTCCAGAATAAGTATGCTGGAATTCATCGAAAGCCTATACTATTCTGAATTCATCGAAATTTCAACACAAATATCCACAGGAAAATAATTGTACGTACTAGAAAAAGAGGAAAATAAAATGAACAACTGTGTTTATTATTAAAGGGAAAGATAAACAGTAGTCGCAATACAGATAACAGATTGATTGAAAAGCAAAAGCTGAAATAGAGAGCCTTTGGATAATCAGCAGCTATCTCCTCACAAAGTTCCATTTTTTTTCATTATTACTGGGGAAGATAGCAGTGCAGTCACAATACAAAGAAAAGAGATTGATCGAAAAAGCAAATTACGCTGGGAAATTTAGAGGCGGGAAGATGCAATAGGATGATGCATGACAATGTTATTGTAGGCATCAAGAGTCAGAAAATCATCCAAAACTGGTGCAGTGCATTGCCTTGTGAATAACTTGCAAGCCTCCTTGTACATTCCCTTCTTGAATTTCTCCTTTCCAACTTCTCTCTCAATCCTAGCCATTTCTTCTTCCACCACTCTCCCAAAAAGGTCCAAGTTAACCTTCACACCGAGACCATCTCCGTCCAATTCCACTCCATATTTCAACCACTGCCAGTTTTGGACTCTGCTAATCTCAGCTGTGGCAGCATCTTCCATCAGGTTGTAAAGAGGGACAGAGCCAGCTCCTGTTAGCCAGGCTGCTAAGTACTGAATACCCACTCGGGTGTTCAGCCGGAGACCCTCCATCGTTCGGACACCTCTCGGACTCTGCAGCAGGTCTTCTTCAGTTAGGATCGACGCATCATGGCGCTTCATGGAGTGGATTAGGTTAGGTGCATTGGACATGTTGTTAGTGAAGACTTCCATGCAAGCTGGAATTAGGCCAGGGTGAGCTGCCCATGTTCCATCATGCCCTGCCTTCACTTCTCTTAGCTTATCTTTCCTTACTAGTTCCAATGCTGCCTCATTAGCTGCTGGATCATCTCTGATCGGTATCTGAGCTGCCTGTTTCAAGGATCCAACAATGCCATTATGCATCAAATGATCATGTACAATAATATTCAAATTTATCCTAATGCTAAAAACTGAAAATCCACTCTAGTTATCAAAGTCAGAGCCACGATTTGAAACTTATGGGTTCAAGATTCTAATCCTTTCAACTTACTGGATTCTAAATTAATAATCTGTACCTACTCAATGTTTTTTTTTAAGACAAATAGAGTGTCTGAACAAAAGATACTACATTCGGCCGAACCCCTAACCGGTACTCTAGCTCCATCCCCTGCTAGTTTTTGGTTGAAAATCATGCAAGTACCAAAGAACGACCACATTGTTGCCAATGCGCTGGCCAAGATAGGCTCTTCCACACATATCAACAGCACGAAAGTCATTCCTATCGCACACCTACAGCGCTCCGATGCGGGAATGATCATGTACATACTTCTCTAACATCAATACATGAAAGACTGGGTTTATAGCTCAAAACCTCTAGTGGTAGTGCTAACCTGTATGCTATTCGCGCCAACCCTCTAAATAATCTCAGCCAAACAAGGGATGCAACACACAAGAACTTCCAAGGGGTCACTCATCCTAGTAGCATGTTAATTCTTCCTTGTCCATATGGTTGGCGTTTATGCATTTTAATTGAGTTCATAGTAGTACTGCAAATATGCCAGTGTAGAACTAAATAAAAGAACATAAAATGAAAAAAAAGACGAGTCGAATTAATATTGACATACCATGCCTCCCATAGCATGGACGCCACGCTTATGACAGGTGTGGATGAGCAAGTCAGAGTAACTTCTCATAAAGTGTTGAGACATGCCAACAAGAACTCTATCAGGGAGAAGGCGATCGGGATGCGCCTGGAAAGTCTTGACGTAGCTGAAAATGTAATCCCATCTACCACAGTTGAGCCCAACTGAATGGTCCCTCAGCTCATACAATATCTCATTCATTTGAAACACAGCCGGAAGTGTTTCAATTAAGACAGTGGCCCTAATGCTTCCTTTCTCAATTCCAGCCCATTTCTCTGCCTTATCAAACACATTATTCCATATTCTTGCTTCCCTGTCCAAACAAAAGAAAAACATTTACTACATTTCTTGAAGTTTTAACTTTCAAATACTACTTAAATTTACCTAATAAGAAGACCACTAACCTAGAATTTTCCATTTTGGGAAGATAGAAAAAGGGTCCAAATCCTTGTCCTTGTGCTTTGCGGAAATTGGCATAGTTGTGGAAAAAGTAGAGGCCGAAGTCGACAAGGCAACCAGTAGCAGGTTCACCATCAATAAAGATGTGAGCTTCGGGCAAATGCCAGCCTCTTGGGCGCACGAATAGCTTAGCCGTCTGATCATTCAGTTTATAAACTCTGTTTCTGGCTTGATCATGGAAAGATATTGTTCCATTCACGGCATCCCTCAAATTCACTTGGCCTCTCATTAGATTCTCCCAACTTGGTGAAAGTGCATCTTCAAAATCTGCCTGTGGAATATACACAACAAATCGCAGAGTTAACTAGTGGAACTTGATTACCATTAGTTTATAAACAGCACCACTCTGATATGTAGGAAGAAAAACAAAATGTACATATTCTGGATGTACTTCTTAATTACTACATGACAAAATCGTGCTAATATGCAGAGACAGGACTCAGAATTTGAAGATTGCGGGTGCATTTTTGGATTTAATCAAAATTTGCTTTGTATATAGAGTGTCACTGCTAATATATCACTAATTTCTAAAAATATATAGATACATACATAAAATTTTGCCGAACTTTATGGGTGCCAGTGACCCCTCTTGGTATAGCATAGGTCCACCTCTACTCATATGGTCTTGCATTACAAGCTCCACGTCTAGTCATTTCATAAGGTGACCACTATATAAAGATCACTTGTTCCTTAAATTTGGTCACAACGGCTACATACAATAGTACCCTAAGTTTCCTTCACTTTTCTCTTTTTTAAATCTTGAAAGTTACTACCATATCTTTCTAGTCACTAGTATATAAGTAAAGATGTTTTATACTATCAGTATATTTTAATCTCTTTTAATAGATAACCGACCTTATTTTCAAAGGTAATACTACTACATTATTTAGGTGACTTAAAAATTTTCGATACGGTAAAATTGACGTACCATGAAAACTTTGGCACCAGAATTAAGGGCATTGATAATCATCTTCCTCTCAACAGGTCCAGTTATCTCCACCCTTCGATCAGCCACAGCATGTGGCACAGGAGCACACATCCACTCTCCTTCCCTAATATATTTAGTCGCTGGATCAAAACCTGGCAATCCTCCATTATTATACCTCATTTTGGTCTCTTTTCTGCACTCCATAGCATACTTAATATGGTTCTTGAATTCCCTCTGTAAATCAGCTACAAATTGCAAAGCATCCCTAGTTAAAATTTTAGAAAATTCAGGATCATATCTTCCCCTAATGTCCACTCCTTCAGGTACATCATAACCAATCATTCCACTAGTCTTTTTTTGAAGAAAGTTATTGGGTTGAAGAAATGTCTCAAAGCTAACCATTTTTGGTAGTTTTTCACTAATATATATTTGGTTCTTGTTTTTCAATGTAGCAGCTGGCTGCTATATAACGGGGAGGAAAAGGTGCTTTAGATTGGTGAAATTTATAATATGTGGATAGCTACTGACTTAATGATTTTTCCCTTTTAAATATAGTATATTTAAATGTGGTGGTAAGGCTTATCGTTATGGGTCTAAAATTAGAGAAATGCATGGCGTTATGTGCGTCAGATGATAAAATGAAGGTGATGTTCTATCTTCGTTCTTGATATATTCAAACAAGGATAATGAAGAGAAGGGCTGGTTTTTGATAATTGTGCCAGCCTCGGGAGTTGCAATTTGGTGAGATATATTGAATTATTAAACTGTCTTCTTTGACAAGTGGCATGTTTTGGAGTTTTCGTGCAACGTGTGTTTATGGGAATAGAAGAAAAGTGGTGTATAATTGAAACAATTAAAGAAAATACAGCTAAAAAACAATTCATAAGTAACAACGACTGAACAACTTCGCAATAATGAATTTTAAGAATTGAAAAGATACTAATAATCTGTTTGGTCAAAAATCAGCTTATTTGAGAAATATTTAAAAAAAAAAAATACTTTTGATGAGAAGTAATTTATATTTGATTAACTAATTTAAAAATATTTTTTAATAACAATTAATATTTGGACAATCTTTTAAAAAAAATTTAAAGTGCTTTTTAAAAAAAAGGTATTTTTTGGTAAAAAACACTTCTACTCAAATGTACTTTTTTTCCTTCTAAAAATTTGATCAAATACCTCTAATTTAAAAATAAAAAAAATACTTTTAATCTTGAAGAAACTTGACCATGCTATAATACATAGATTTCCAAAAGCAATATGAAATCGAAGGGTTAACTATAAGAGAACAATTTCTAAAGTTTTGTGGTTCTTACTTCTTGTTAATTACTGCTACTCCTATTAATTAAAGCCACCACGATGCCGTAACTATATGAGAAAGATGAGAGACAAAACGTGAGGCAAGACATTTAACTTAATCTCACCACCTCTAAAACAAGGAAGCAATCATCCTCTTTATATAAAAAAGTAATGTGAAAATAATGTCGTGATATTTTTAAGCGTATACACAACCCATGGTTGTACAAAAAATAAAATAAACTAAATTAAGAAAAGATCAAAAGAATTCTATGATGATGATATTTTTGTCTTTCTTGTATGCAGAAATACACTGAAACGTGATACAAAATACCCAAATTCAATTCACTGTGAATTTTCATTAGTTTTTAGTCAATGGTCTATCGGAAACGGCCGATATGTCCTTCTAGGATAGTTTAAACAATTATATTTTTCTTACAAGTTAGGGTTAGTCTTAGCCAATAATAATATCCACTAAATTATTTAATTAGTGACGTGACAAATGTTATAAGATCTGTGGTAACAATGATGAATATACGATAATGAACAATTCTTAATGGCATAAATGCAATATAAATAATATTAAATAGCAATAAATGACGTATGAAATATTTATGTAAATAGACATAATAAATATGACCGAAAAATGGGGGTGGAATCGTGTAATGTTCCTTCTGACAATGATAAATAATTGATCGGCCTTTGAATATTCTGATTCTCCTTGGATCGTGGGGAAAAACTAGATAGTGATCTCAAGAAAAAAAGGTGTCTTTTGTATGTATGTAATAAAGCAAGAATCTTTAAAGAATGTCAAAGTGGTCTTTTACAAATGAGTATTCAATGTCCCCTATAACTATGTATCTTTCTATTTATAACGGGACATGTGTCACAAAACCCTAATAGCACAGATCCAGAGAATTTTCACTGGAATATTCTCTTTAAAGTCTTATCCTAAAACTAGCCGTTATTACTCTGTTAAAAAAGAGTCCTCCTCCTCGACCTTGATCTCTGCTGACTTCTCGACCTAGCCCTTCATCTCTTGTCAAATCACCTCGACGTGAATTTGTCTTTTGTCGAAGTCATACTGGTGACACATGGCAGCCCTCGAAGGATCTCTTAATGCTGACGTGGTCTGAACATAACTAAGATAAATTTTGTCCCATACAGTTAGTGTCTCCACTTGTTAAGGTCGTCTTCGCGGGCGAGTTCAATGAGCGGATAATATCGTTCATGGTCGAGCTTGTTGAATAGATAACATGGGCCACAGTTGTTGTAGCGAGCAAGCAACGTGGCTCGCCATGGGCCGCCTATTTTAAATTCCTTATATTTTTCGGGTGATTTGTCGGAGCCATCTGGTCCAAGAGAGGGGGTGACGTCATGACGTCATGCATCATAACGATGCTTGTTCCCGACGCATTGCATCGATTTATGTGTAACCTTTGATTAGATTTGTCGTTTCGGTGCCGGTGCCAATTATGATGAGCCGTTTGTGCCTATTATGACAAACCGTCTCAATTTGGTGCCTCAATATCTATAAATAGGTATAGCGAAACCCAAATTTGAAATTTTTATTCTTCCAAACTTTGACACTTCAAATTTCCTCTCTGAACCTCTTTTTTTTTTGCATCGTTGATTTTTTCCGTACTCTAAACTCTCTTCCTAGTATCCTTTTTCACTTTCTCATAAACATGTCGAATGTATCATCTCATGTTGGTGAAGGAAGTCATGCCGTTCCGTTGGCGGTTGTGTTCCGAGAGAATGCAGCTGCCACCGTGGAGGATGAAACTTTTCCCTCGACGGAGGAGATCATCCCCCACAACCCCGAGCCCGGGTCCGATTCTAACAATCGCCGGATGCGGCACATGGAAAATTGCTATTAATAAAGCCAAGTTCGTCCTCCCCTACCATATCGAACCGATCCCCGTTGAGGGGGACGAACTACATGTTCACCGTCGGGGGTACTGCGCTCTATATGCTTACCCGTTCGTTATCGGTTACTCGCTTTCTCTTCTCCCGCTGGTGAAGGAGTATTGCCGCCACTATGGCGTTTGCCCTTCTCAGCTCGCCCCTTACATTTATAAGGTCATAACGATGCTGACCAAGTTTGCTGAGCTTGCCGGTGTCGAGATGACAGTGCGGCATTTATTGCATCTATTCGCCCCTAACTTCTAGGGGGCCGATATTGAACCTCCGTCACCGTGGAGGCAAGTGCCTGGTGGTGAAGATGGACAACAAGGCTAGTCGCCAATTCTGGCTTGATTTTATTTACATCCGAACCGATGACGTCGTAGCCAACGCCGACGGCTTCCCTGAGGCTTGGAATTATAGACGTACGTGTCTATTTTTCTTTTGATTTTACCTTTTGCATCTCTTCACATATTTTGGGATAGTCAACTAATTATTCCTTTCTTGTAGCCAACAATTGTCCTCCCTCTCTAGCCATACGCATCGCCGACTGGGTCGTGCAGATTCTCCCTCATGCCGCAGGGATTCATGATTGGCCGAGCTTCTTTAAGAAGTTTAGATCGGCTCAACCTTCCACATGTAACTCCTCTTTTTGGCCATGATCATTTTTGTATGTTGTTCGGCTTTGCTAACTTATATGTTTCTTCCTTTTCCAGGTTTGGTTAGGGGATCTTCTCGAAGGAGCAGGGCGCCTGTTGTCGTGCCCCGTTTTCTTTCGAAACGGGCTTCGATGTGTGACAACTCTTTTAAAGGAAGGTGTTAAAAGAGGAAAGTCGCCACCTAACAATTTTTATGGTACGTTAGGGCACCTGTTTGCAAATAACTCTGTTTGACTAGTCAACGCCACCAAAGATCAGGTAAGGGCTCAAAGAGAAGGTGTTAGGCACTCTTCGAGGTCCACAACTGTGGGTCCCGACCGAACTTCAGACTATGTGGATTATGTAATTAGGTTAGGTGATCAAATGAACAAAGAGAATATAAAAATTGAAGAATTTCATTATAACACAATAAGAATTGGTACAAATCTTTAATGGTTATAAGGATACAACTACATTGGCCTAGGTTAAATAGCTAAATGTATTTAGCAAGTATATAAAGGAAGGGGGAGGGTTCCTAAGTTTTTAGCCTAAAAGATCACCCCGTGCAACATAAATAATACTTCGCGAATCCTTTTAGATAGGGGTTGCTCATATTATTCAGCGAGCACAGACTATCATCTCCTGCTACCCGATTACTATGTTGAAGTTATTTACTTAAAGCGCTCTAATTCATTTCTAAGTCGTGTCCTATGCGTGCACTACCCATCCCATGCCTATGGTCCAGGAGGCTTTGGACCTCTATTTGGGTGGTTCTAGACTTACTTAGGTTGCTCAAAATGATAAAACTAATCGCGCATTCAAAACGAATAGGACTGCACATAATAGCAAAGAATGGCTCATATTGGCCTCCATATATAAACAAAGAAGCACGCAGTCTGATTTTCAAATTAAGCAGTAGAACATATCAAAATTAAGACTTAGAGTCCTTTAGTCCTATAGGCATGATCTCTATATGATTCCAGTATCAAACAGGTAATGCCGTATTTTTAGGCTAACGTACGGACATATTAAATCGTTATAAATCCCATATACATGGTTTCTAAGTGATTATGATTTTTAGCAATGTACAAGCAACGGATTTGCAGGTTACAAGCCTATAGGCATGATCTCTAGATTGTTTGTGCAAAAAGGCAGTGAAACGACCCCAGAATCATGAATTACCAATGCTGATTTTGTAGACTAGTTCCTTAGGCAGGTGACAATTTCCTAGAGGCATGATATCTAGTAGTCGGCAATCGAAATTGATTTTATATAGTTTTATCCCTATAGGCATGCTATCTAAGCGAAGCAGTACAAACGATATGGAGCAGCTGACTGATTATTATACCTTATAGTTATGGTATCCATATGAGCAGTACACTAAAACAATTGAGGCGGTTGATAGAATGATCATTCGAAGTCCTATAGGCATGGCACCTAGGTAAGTAAAATATTGCATTGTTGTGCCCTATAGACACTTTACTAAGAGTGCACAGTAGTGAAAACAGGTACAACAAACACTTGAAACGGCATGTGTTGGCAAGTTAAGTGATGTGTGTGTGTGACTCCTATAGGTAGGCTTTCTACATATGAAATTAAAACATGTAGAGCAAATAGCGAATACACCATATAGATCCTATAGGCATGCTTTCTACCTATTTATGTGAGCATTAGAGTATCC